GGGTAGGCGACTGTAAAGATGTAAGCAAAACAAAAAAACACACATAAGCAAACTAACTCAGGTTGTGAGAAAAGAGTGAAAAACAGTATGTGGTTATAATGCTCTAATGGTATATTAAAATTTACTGTCTTCGTTGTCAGTAATATTTGGGTTCTACATGTTAACTTAGTCTTATACAATTGCATTTTGTTTTGGCTCAGCACTCAGAGGTAGACCGATTGGGCGATTAACCGCCCTTAATACATCCCCGTCGTTCGAGTGTACTAGTGCTTCTTTACCTATTTACACCGGATTCACAACTATGCTAATTTATTTCGGGCTGACGTAATACATAGAAACTTAACGGATGAATATGGACAAAACCAGCATGATAATTTATTGATTATCTTTCATCGTCACCCACTCTTCTCCCATTGCAAAGAGTTCCGCTTTTGAACAGTTTTAATTACTGCAGGTAACAGCGCCTGTGGATTATTGTTCGACTCGCCTGCGAACACCCACTTTAAATGAAAATTTCAAATTTCACCTACAATCAAGTTAATCCCACTTCCCTGTAACAGAGAGATCCCTTTATAGATCCACCAAAAGACTGGGGTATTTAAAAGTCAAGCATACATTGCATTCAAAACAGTCCAGCGACCCTGCAAACAGCGCTATTTATTAAGGTTAAAAAGAATTGAAATGACAAAGCTGATCAACAACACAAAGGACATGAATACCCATGGTTAGCGTAAAGGCAGAAAGAACTGCCAAAAAAGGCAAGAAAGACCGGAATAGTCATTTTAGGCTCATTAACCGTCATCAGCCAGTCATACACAACCCCAAGTGGTGCGCCACCGGAGACTCAAAGCCACAATCTTCTGACCAGAAGTCTAAAACTCTAATAATTGAACCAGGGGCTCGTTGTATGCCTCGACTACCAGCGGGACGAGTGAGTTCCGTTAGCGATCGATGAACGTTAATCAACGAGGGTTAGAGTGAAGTTATGAATCCCAGCTTCATCTTGAGTCTGGAGAGGTGAAACAATTCCGCACCACTTACGTCGAAATCAAATGTAGGTAGGTTCAAAATTTCCAGTTAAGAAACCTTTCTCGAAATGTTTAGAACCTCCTACTTGTGGTTCCGTGTATCCTTCGAACTTGAGAAAAAGTTCCGGATAGAGAAGGCAAATAATTGTGATAGGAAACGCACATATCAGGTCAATTTTTAAATTTCAATCATACATTTTGTACTTACTGTGATTTAGGAGACTTTACTTCGAAAGGAAAAAATTCTATTTTTACGGGGTATGAGTTGGCATATCACGTACTCTGCTGTGAGTTCTGGATAATGAGTCCAAATCTCTCCTTATAGCCTTCCTTTGTACTCCAAATAAATGTACAATATCAGAGATCCCACTTATACTGAGTACACCCACCTGCACCCTTTGAACCGTCGTATTTTGCAGTTTATTGTTCACAACATTACTAATCACGGTGACCCTCAAACTGGCAGTAATCGGTCAGACTTGAAAGTGCCTTTTTGACTGCCAAAATCCATGTGCTCAGCGGCCTCACTACGTCTGATCTTCACGCTTACTGAGATGATCTCGGTGTGTACTCAGGTAGGAGTGGGAAAACAATCATCTCAGACCGGGGTTCACAACAGAACGCCTGCTTATTTAAATTCCTGCATACCAGCATGCTACCGTTTAAATCAATATCTTTTTTTCCAATCACTGGTACAAAAGAAAGTCAGCAAAAAATAAATAGGAACGTGGCAGAGCATATTTTCTTCACTTCCAATGCCTGTGCAAATGCAATAATCGGTTCAAAAGAGAATTTTCGAAGCATTCACTTCCCGTACTCAGTTTTATTTCCAAATTTATTATCCTGAGGGTGGGAGATTATTTTCTTTTTTATTGCGCTTGAACTATGGTAGGCGAGTAAGCACTAGTTCATAAATTATGTAATATGGGCTGTACATACTGCTTATTGCTATTAGCTCTAGGCGATAATTTTTACGGGATACGTATGGTAACATAGACTTGCTTTCGATAGGAGCAGAGCATGAAGTATAGAAGTTATTTTTCAATGTATGCAGTAAGAAGGAATGCTTTTGAATTTAAATTTCGTTCCTGTGTAAAGCAAACATTTCAAGGAGAACATGGTGGGTACCAAAAGGAATTTGGGAACTGAAAATTTGTGAACTCCTTCTGTAGGGTATAAATCCAACTGTAAAGGCATCGAAAATGAATGCAAAACAAATAAAGTACTCACTACTGAGCTTTTCGACTATGATATTTATATCATATTTGCATCTGCGTCGGCTAATATCACATGAAGTGGAATAGGAGGGATTAAAATGGACTGTAAAGTAACAGTAGATTCCTTATTTCATGAAATGTCTGAAATGCGTTTTGGTTCGAATAAGTCACTTAAATTCTGTTGTAGTAGTGATTATTGCGCAGCCGTATTTCAAGACATGTCAATTACGGCAGGCTTCCGGCTTCTGAACATTTTTTTGGTTGCCTGCCTGTAGAAAAAATGGCCATTCAATAAATTGACAGTTGCCACACTTACTTTCGATGTTCTCAGAAATGTAGATATTTTTTATAGAAAACATGTACAAAAATATAATTTCTTGTACTCGTTTGGTGGCTGACTCCGCCTAGTTCAAAAGTTATATATGAAAAAGTGTTCGTATGAACTTGAAAACTGGCATGCCAAAAAATATAATTTAATAGAAGAAATTCTTTGGGAAGATGACCTGGTGTGCCAGCGTCGAAAATTTACAATAAAGTTTGTTCAACTTTCCCAAAGAATTTCTTCTTTCAAATGAAAAATTATGTATTTTGGTTTTAACATTTCCGATTATGAGGTCTTTATGACCACGAATTATTCATTCATGATGTTCATTCATTCATAATACTCTTCTTCACAGCGCAGAGAAATGTGTGATCGTCCCTGGGCAGATTGTATACAGTAGGTAGCCATGACCTATGGAACACGAGTGTAAACGCCAGTAGGGTTCAACATTTTTCAGCAATTTAGCATGCGTTTTTAATTAAACATATCTGGATTTCCAAGTGCATCATACTACGCACGCAGTCCTTTTTTAAAGAGAGCATGCCTTTTCTAGGCGTCAAAAAACCCCGCCCCAAAAGTTGGCATTTTTGCTGCACTAACAATGCTACAACCATACGTAGGTAATTTATTCACATTGAAAACGAATTTCAGCAGTTCGATTACAATTTAATGAAATGGGAAACCTACTGTAGGTTTCACCTTGATGGTTTCAAATCGGCAGAGCAGGACCAGCAAAACAGCTGACTGTACAGAGCCTTTAATCAGCGAGACATGGGATGTCTTTCCAGCTGTGCCGGCTGATTTAGCCGCATACATTGGAAAATAATACGTAAAGCTCCCTGTGGTGCACACTATAAACACAATTTCACGCTTCATCAGATGCAATTTTGGGCACAAACCTGTGCTGGGCATGGGTCCCCCCCGATAGACTACGCGCAGTTATATCGTATGAGGAGGCTGTTTTTCCCATAGACTTTGTTTGGACAGAAGTTAACTTATGCTGAATGAGTTTGGGTTTACGTCTTAGAGTCCATATCACCCTCTAACAAGATGTGCACTTCTATAGCTTCTTTGAACGCTCTTGATGTTTAGCAGTTTCAAGAGTATAAGACAGCTGATAAAACTAAGGTTTAAACTGTGGATGAATGCCGCAACAATTGGAGATCATGTTATGATCATTGTTTAGTATATTTGACAGTACCAGTCAGGCATAGTCCAGCCTCGTTTCTAGAAGGTCTGCCATATATATATGCATCTAAAGTTTTACCACTTTACCCATGGTCAATGTCCTACAAGCTACGATCAAGAATAGCCACAGTTTTGCTGCTAGCTGAACCAGCCTTAATCAAGGTTGAAATGAAGCCATAATTTTTCCTCCTGCTAGCAACGCCGTTAGCGGCTATTAATAAAAACTGGAGGTAGGCCGGTAAGGAAATCAGCAAATGCATTAAAGTGTCTCTAAGTCATTCGGCGAAGAAGAGTTTGTGCGTAGAAAAAGACATAAAACTAGCAGACCATGTACATAGAACTCGGCGAACACAAGACAATTGCTTTCATCTTTTCACACCCATCATAGCCTACTGCACCTGCATATCACTCAATGGATACACTTCACTTTGACTATTCTGCTCTCCATCCTTTTAGATAAATTACGTAACACATCTATAATTAATAATTCTTTAAAAGACAACAATTAAGCAAGTTATGACTGATGTCAGGAGAGTGCCCCAAGGTTTCAATCCTAGTCTTTTAGATCATCCATATTATGAAATCCAAATATTTGCACTTACATCCTCCTTTAATTCACCCGTTTGCTCCTCCTCCTCCTCGAGTCCGGGAGAGGAGTCAGACGGAGACCTCGATTGTCGTCGCTCTGCCAGCTGATGTAGTAGACATTCCGCTACCGAGGCGAACTCGAGACTCTGGTGGGCAAACTTGGACTTCAACGAGGCGTATGCTTCCTGCACCGCACGCAGTTGGCTTCTCATTTCGGGCGCTACCTCCTCGGTGGCACACAGCGTGTACTCGAGACCAAGCCTGTTACACATCATATGCAAGCGAGGAATGTCGTGTGACATAAATGCCAGCGCAGTCTCCGCAATGGTCTGCAGCTTCTCGGTAGCTAGAAAGAAGAAAGCGAAATTGACGAGGGTCAGTGGTCGCATTGAGCGAAGCATGGATAAATAGGTTTTGGAGTCACAGATGGAAGAAAAAGCTGTCAAGTTTTCCCCGAAACTACAAAAAACTCGGAAAAATGTAAATGTATTTCGATGGAAAGGATTTTGTTTGGGAAAGCATGACAAATTTTATTGGTGGGAAGAGGTTTGGACAGACTGGAATAATTCATTTGACCTCGCTGTAAAAACCTCGGCGGCCTCGGTTTGATTGGAATCCACGCCAGCAGGAGGCAAGGCTTTAGTTCAGGCAACCCTCTAGCCAATTGAGATACGAGGCCCCAACCGGGAGCCATGAAACTTTATTTTACGAATTTTCGACGCTTGATCTCCAGGTCCTTGTTTCACAAAGGCTTCATTAAATCGAACTTAATTTTCTGAAATGCCCACTTATATATGCCAACAGATGTATACAGTAGGTAGCCTAACCCCGGCGAAGTTATGACTAAAATTGAAGTTAGTATTTAAGCATGCATTTGGTCTCGTTATTTAATTTGATGCGTGGATTTGATGCCGAGACAAACTTTTAGTAAGGAAAACTGCCTGCGTACTTCAGGTTATTTAAGAGAGACAGAGAGAATTTTGGTGAAATCGGAGGTTGCCGGATATCGAAACACTATCCTGTACTATTTAGTATAAAAGAATCAAGCCTTTTAGTTTAGTGTCTTTCGCTACAGGAAATCATTAATATAAGCAAGATAAGTTTAAAATACATCGCCTTCAGAACTGGAAAAGTTAATCTTAAGTTGATAAACATTACGCGAAAGCATGTTTAAGGAATCGCTTTGTTTTTCAGAAACAAAGGACAATTGCAGTTTTCAAAATTGTTTTTTTTTGTCAGAAGAAACAGTGGGATAAATTTTGACCGAATCTTGCTTTAACGCATCAAAGATTTAGGTTCATAAACATAAATAAATACATATAGTATCGCGTACATGAAGGTAATTTATGGATATTTTCAACGTTTGTGGAATTTGAGGATTCTTTATAAAAGTACCTTTTCCAAACAGAAAAAAACTAGTGTTTCTTAAGTATTTATTTTAAGTCGCAAATTCGCCTAAGGTTTTGCATTATCATTATTTCAAAGTTTTCGTAAACACGTCAGTGCCGGCTGGAAAGTGATTATCAATCATTCAAAAGTTGCGGCATTCTGCAGGAGTTTCAGTTCGCACTGTATGCATGGTCAATGAGCAGGCATGGAACTCACTTGCCCCGTCGTAGCTTGGGGCTTACTCTTGATCACAACCAGCAGCAGCACAAGGGCTACTCATATGGGCAGGATAATATAACCGACAAAAACAACAGAGATGACGACCAAGAAGTCAGAAATGAACATTCCAGTCTCCCTCGTCTTTGTAGGTTATACCATTCTATCTAAACGACTAGTTGCTATGCGCTTGCTGGCGAGGCCTGAGAGTGAGTCCCATAGCCGACCGGCAAGCAGCAAGACAATACACCCGTGGCGCAATGGTTAGAGCCTTGGACCTCGTCCCAACAGGTCGTAGGTTCGATCATCGGGTGCTGCGATATCTGGGGTTGGGTATGCCCGACTGATGATGGCTAATATGCCAGAAATAGCCATATCGGTCTCCCTTGTCTTCGTGCGCTCCATCTTATATATACGAATTGGAAGGCAGGCATACCTAGCAATATCAGTTAAAAACACAATTTATTTGGAAAAAGGAGTACGGTTGACTAGCTAAACATGCGAAACTAATTCACTGATTTATCATCAAACTTGATTAAATGTGTGAAAGCTGTGCTTGAAAAACCGATACTTTTTCGCCGTTTGCAGGTGTAGGTGGCCACTATGTGCGTCATTCTGTATTGCTTGTTTCTCATCTGTTCCACTTTTCCCTGGGGTGTTTCTACACGACAATGCACCCAAGACTGCATAACTCATCAAACTGCATGATTTCCGTAGGGTTCTGATGTTTTTGGAGGAGCAGACGGCAATGATGTGAGGCGAAAGTGCACCCGGCATGACCACTTGAGATAGATAGTTTCGTCTATTAACTGTGAGTTTATATTCGTGGACGCATTCCTGCTTGGTCACAGTATAAAACATCACAGTTATCGCATAGGATTTTGTAGACGACTTCCTTCTTTTTAGGATAGTCAAGCCTGTCCCCAGGGTTTACTAACTGAGTACGTGAAATAGGCGACGGTGTGCGCGCCTCTTTTATTTGATGTTCCCTAAAATTTCTTTTAACTGGTTCAGTCACCTTCCTAGTGTGCGAAAGTATTCCTTGAATATTTGCCTTGGGCTTCTAAATGAAACGACTTAATGCAAATTTTACGATACTTAAAATTTTTTCTCATGCTTCTACAGAAAATATAAAATGAAACCCAGCAGAAAACGTCGTTGATAATTAATTGAAGTTACCGATAGTTTGATTATCCTAGGTTTTTCGTCTCTTTTGCTTTAACATTTAGAAAGGGAATCCCCAAAATATTTTATTTGATATAAGTGGGCGCTGAAAAGTTGAAGAACTGGCCTTACTTCCCATAACTGCTTTCGTATAGAAAGTCTGCATAAGTGATTGGTGGATAACACTTAACATAAAACATTCTCACGAATTAACTGATTAACGTAAATTTGGTGGGTTATGATGGAGCACATATCAACACAGCTACGCAAATCAAACGAAAAACTAGAAACCTAGGTAGTGTATAACATTAAATGCCTTTCGAAGGTGATTTAAATGTAGTCATATTTCAGCCGAGCGATGGGCGAAAATCCTGTTTATACCCAGTTTTATGAAATGAAGATTGCTTTCTAATTTCAGTTCAATGGAAGAATAGATTTAGCTTTCCATTTAGTGTACAGTTCCAATTTTTTAAGATTGCGGAGTATAAATGAAAAAAAAAAACTGGCGTAAAACAAATCAACTTTAATGTTGTTGCGGATTTTAAGTAGGTCGGGAAGTTTCACCGACAGTGGAAGAATTGTATAAAGATCCAATTTTAGTCGTAGCAGTATTCCGGATAAAACTATGGGTTCCTTATAGTACAATATTCTTACTAGGTTCCGCATAACTGCGTCTGGCTTGAGCCGTTTGGTCTGGTGTGAAAAAGCAGAGTGAGACGTGAACACCTGCTCTCAGCAAATTTGAATTTCTTAAAATGTGCATCTCTAGGTCAAACCTTACGACCTCTCTTGTGAACAACGACGTTTATGAACTACGCAAACTTGCAATGGATACCCGATCTCGTGAAAAGTCAAAATGAATTCGGAAATGTGCTTTCAGTTTGAACAAGGTACTCAAGCAGAATTGTAATATTAACTATCGTATAACCTAATGTCAAGATGTTTCCGTCACATCGGGAAGCCGGCCTTTAAAAGAGCTTGTCTCTGACTGCCTGCAAAAAATGCTTACTCATGTAGTATTCATTCTTCTCCTTTGTTCTCAATGCTCTCATAAATGTAAATATACTTTATAGAAAACATGCAAAACATATTCTTTCCTTTACTCTTTTTGTAGCGAACTACGCCTTCTTCTGAAAAGTATCTTTCAGTTAAAAAAAAGGTTTATAACATACCAAACAGTTTAAACCCTACCAGCCGTTACATTTGACACGGAGTTTCAAAAGTACACGCTGTATAGGTTCTGTCTAAGGAAATTCGCATACCTCCCTACGGTATAAGAAAGGGGTCACATAGTTCCCATAATATTTTTTGCAATGGATGTGGTCACGCTGTGTATATTATAGGCACCATTAATAAATTGACCGATGTGATGTAAAATAAATGAGTACTTCACGGTCGTAAAATCTCAAGATTAGAAACTTTTTTTGAAATAGAGTAAAATCTTCGAGAATAAAATTTTAAGAAGACGAAATCTGCTACCGAACGAGTACAAAAAGAATATTTTTATGTAGGTGTTATAAAATATACATTAAGATTTATAAGGGCATTGAAATTTAATAAGAAAAGTGCATACTAACTAAGCAAGCATTTTTATAGAATTAGCTCTTTGCAGACGGTTAAAAAGGAGCTCATTTAAAAGCCGGCACCCCGACTTGATTGAAATATGTTGAAATAAGGCTAACAAAGACTAAGGTTTGCCACTCTACTTAAGTACTTTTTTGAATCAAAAGCGCACTGCGGAATTTCGGTTGGCATTTCGGGAGATTGGAAATCTACTATAGTAGTCAATTTAAAACTGTCTCTTTTCTGATACGAAGAAACCGCTTCTACAGCTCAACAGAACAAAATGTTTTAAAATACTCCAAGGATGTGTTCTCCCACTAACATGGTGCTCCAACAACCGTTTAGTTTATTTATTTTCGTTTGAATGGTAACCAACGGACAGGGTGTGAACAACTCTACAGTAAACGCGACACTTGTTTGCTTCCGTGCTGATGGGTGAGAAAAACAAGTGTTTCCTCCCGTAGCCCGCAGCACCATCCAAAATGTGTGAAGTTGATATACGGTTTGCTGTTACAGGCTGCACGATTAACTCTGACAGAAAAACAACATAAAACTGAGTAAAATTAGCTGACAATGGCAGAAACTGGGGGGAATGATACTAACAGGTCTTAACGACAAGGTACGGACTGCCTACATCGCTCACAAAGTGCATGCATTTCACATTGGATGATCCAAATAGGAAGCTCGTTAAGGTTTTGGCAGTTGTATCCTGGCCTCCTAATTAATCTGTGCAAAACTACATAGAAGCAGTGTTCGTTGAGCATTTGCTGCCTGACAGACCTCAAACCAGCCATCTAAGATTATTCCTCGCAACTGACAGATTCGAAATCCTTGGTTCAGCAAGCAGAGCGTTAAGCTCAATCAGCAAGTGGACCTGATGCCAAACGCGGGAATAGGAAACACCTCCCGGAAACAGAGGAACCCTTTTACGAAAATCCAGGAAGGATAAACATTATGGGATTTTAATCTTTACCTTACTTTTTAAGATAATTACCGACAGAAGCGCAGGTGCGAGTCCGAGGAAGTACCTGGGAAGCGACTGAGCCACAAGTTGCTT